AATCTCTCTTTCTCTCTGTATATATGTATTTAATATGTTATATTTAAAGCTCCACAATTTCATTTAAACTACCCTCACATTTACTTACCCATGGCATTGCATCTCATGCCTTCCTTTATCCTCACAGTTCTATCTGTAATTGTTTCCAATGTCAGAAAATATTCCTATATATTTCCTTTAATCAGAAGCTTACACAGCTGACTTCTAGTTATTGTCTTTCTGAAAATTCACATTGTCTTCATTTACAAATGCTATTTCACAGGGTATTGAATTCTAGATCGGCATTTCAAAGATTCCAGTCCATTGTCTGCAGGTCTTTATTGTTCTTTTGAAGTGTCTTTCTTTGAAGGGAATATGCCTTTTTTTCTGGCTTCTTTTATTTTGTTTTCTGGCTGCGTGCATAATTTTCCTCTTTGTCTTTGTTTTTGGCTGTTTTACTATGATGTTTCTGTTTTTTCTTTCTTTCTCTTTTGGTTTGCTTTTAGCTATATTCTTGTTGCATGCCTGATTATTTTTGCATTAGAACTCAGAATTATGCATGAAGCATTACATAGCAATTTAAAACCCTAATTGTTTTTTCTTCCAAAAATGTTTGCTTCAAGAGTCAATTAAACTGAGGCAGATAACCTGAACTGCTGCTGACCGTGTCAGGACCTGGCTTCCATTATTGTGAGTGCTGGACTATTTTCTGTTCACCCAGTTTAAGGCATATCTCTTCAGGGTCCCAAATGAAAATTTGGCGTGTAATCCTGGCCACTCCTCTCAGAATTCTTATTCGTATCCTCTCATCAACTCTATGCAAGTGTTCAAAACTCCAGTAAATTAATCAGTCTCTCAATGCAGGAAACTTCTCACAGAAAATCTTTGAATGGAAAAATGTTGCCAGGAGGCTGCCTCAACTCTCTGGTTCCCCTTCTCTCTAGGAAATGAATCTGTAGGGTTTTGGAGACAAAAAAGCACCCTGACAACTTCAAATTGAGGTGTGGTTAACAGAGTATGGTATTTTTTAGTTGCTCCATTAGAGGCTATCTCTTTGCTGCAAGTCAAATGCATAAAATTATAATATAGAGATAAGATAATACATACATAGTTTCTATATTTTGATCTGGGAAGCATAATAGTATTATGGAAGAGACATTCTTTTTTCATTATACAATCAAATTAATAATATAATACAGGACTTACCAGTGTGGTTTTAATATCAGCTACATTTATAATTCTGGAATATATAATAAGTATTTAAAGAATGGCTGTTGAAATAATGTAATTTTTGACAGAAACTATACTAGATCTATATCTGAACACATTAATTTTACAGTCATTTATTTCTAGATTAGCCCTTAAGATTAAACGTCAGTTCTACACATAAATTGTGTTGTCACAAAAGTGTACATTAAATATATAACTGACACAAAATATGGGTTTAGTAATTATTTGTTAATAAAATTACTTCATGTTGATTAGTTAAATGCAATCTCTCCTATTGCAAATTTCTTGCATATTAGTCTTATACCTTCCTCTCTATTTATAGATTTAAGCTGAGTTTCTATTTTATAGTTTTGTCTATATAGTAAGTGCTCAATAAGCATCAATTGAAGAATTGTGAGGACAATTTAAGTGAAAATAATAAGATTGTGCTCTATGGCATGTTGTGTCAGTTGGGATGCTTTGGGTTTCAGTAATAGAAAATATGTGGGGTTTTTTTTTTTAGAAGAAAATAATATGTTGGAATGACAGAGAATAGGAAAACCTTCAAAGACTGTAGATAAATTGTATTGTTCCATGTCTCAGGAAGGATATAAAAACTGTGTGAGAAAAAAATTAGTGTCCATGCTCTTGCTGCAGTCAGAGTGACTCATCGTGGACTGCCTTCCATTCATGGTCAATTCAACTGTGGATTCCTAAGAGAGAGAGACTAAATCTGGTTGAAGCACATTGAGTCATGTGATTTAGCTATATATAATACTAGAGGCCTGTTGCACAAAAAGATTCATGCAATAGGCCTTCCCTTCCCCTGGCTGCTGGCACCGGTTTTCTTCCAGCACCCAGGACCCCCGGCCGGCGCCACCTTCAGTCTTTGCTCCACTGCTTTGCCTACGTATGCAAATTAACTGCCATCTTTGTTGGCGGTTAATTTGCATATCTCGCTGATTAGCCCATGGGAGGCGTAGGGAAGGTACGGTCAATTATCATGTTTGGCTATTATTAGATAGGATGGGCTTGTCTTATGTATTGTACTGAAATTCAGTCTTAGGTTATTGTGCAGGCATTATATCTGAATATACATAGCCATTGTCTTAGTTCCAGCTGCTATAACAAAGTGCTATACACTGAGTGACTTATTAACAACAGAAATGTATTTCTCACAGTTCTGGAGGCTCAAAGTCCAACATCAGGATGCCAGCATGGTTGGTTTCTGGTCAGAATTCTTTTTTGGATTGGAGAATACTATCTTTTCAATTTATCCTCACATAGGGGAAGGGGAGGGAGAACCTTCTGGAGTATCTTTTAAAAAGGTACTAATCCCATTTATGAGGGCTTCATCCTCATGATCTAATTGCCTTCTGAAGACTTCACCTCTTTACACCATCACATCAGGCATTAGGACTTGAATATAGGAATTTTGAAAGACATAAACATTCAGACCACAACCTAATCGATACATATAGATATAGATATCAAGATAATTAGCATACACGTGGGTTCTGTGAAGAATATGTGAAACAAGAATCTCTAGAATGCTTGTTTTTATAGGTTCTGACATTCCATAAGTGTTATAAAATTTTATTATACAATATTTATGAGTAGGCTGGTCTGAGTGCAGTGGTGTCTTACAACTAATTGATCACTGCCAGTTACAGATTTCTTTGTTCCTTCTCCACTCCCACTGCTACACTTGACTAGCCTAAATATATATATATATATAAAGTATCAAAATAAAAAGTATCAAAATAATGAAAAATATAACTATAATATATTAGAGATTTGATAAGTATGAAGGAAACTATGAACAGCTATCTTAACACATTTGTGCTTCAAAACCAGGGTAGTTTGGATGCATTTATTGTCTGCCTTAACCTAATGTTCTATTGTGCATATTTAGGTACACTATTTTTACAACTTCTGTTTAAATACAAACTTTTTAAATAAAATAACCTATTACTGAGTTTTATCCAAATATAGCTTTAAACTTTACAATTAGGTCACATACATTTTTTTTAACTTATATGCCATAAAAATATTTCTGGTAACTGATAGAATAGATAACATATAATTAGATCTTACTAGAGTATTCTAAGAAGTACTGGAAATACAATCAATCTGTTTTAGAGGCCATATAGTATAACTGGAAGCCTGAAACCACAATTTATCAGATGCATGACCACTAAAGACTAATCCTTTTTTTCTTCATCTGTAAAATGTTAACAGTAATAACAGTAACAAAACTTACACCATATAATTGTATAAAAAATAACTAAAATAATGCTTGTAATCTGCATAATGGCTGGCATATAGGAAGGGCATGTTAAGTCACTATAGACAGCTAAGTGAAATATTTAATTTAATCACAATAAATTCAAATTAATTATTTAAAATTTAAATATACTGAAATTAATATGTGTTACTAGTATTGGTTAATTCACTAGTGCTTACAGTTGCTCTGATCACTGAGGCCATTGAGCTGTCTTCTAAT